TTCCTTAGTTCCTTGGTTCTACAAATCTGGCTCCTTATCTCTCTAAACTTAGTTTTTCTCTAAACTAATTTCTTTTCTTAGAACTAAAATGAAAGTCGATTTATTAAAGTTAGGAAACGAAAATTGATGTTAGTAGACTTGAAACAAAGAATTTTTCATTTTTGTCTCAATTTAATTCTGGTAAAGAAATGATGATTTGTCATGATTGTAAACAAAAATTTTCACAAATTTTATCTAAATTTTGATTTACTTTCTTTTTTCTTATTCACTTTCATTATTCATTTTCTTTTTTTCTATGCCAATTGTGCTAATTTTTGTGTGTCAAATCTGCCAATTTTTGCCAATGAAGACTCAAAAATCTGATAGTAACCTTGATTTTCTAATACCGCATATATGAAATCCCATTTTTATTGCGCAAACTAATATCAGGGTCGATATCAGGGTTTCTATCGTTGGAAATTTATGAAAATGTCGAAATCCGCATTTCTTATGCATGTACCTAATAGTTTCATAATAGCAAATCATTCGATACTAATAGCAAAATCATCAAAAGCAATCATCAGCTTTTTAGGCAGCAAACCATTACATTGTAAGCCAAAGAACACCTTTTTAAATGAGGAAAATTGAAACACAGTTTTTCTTTCAATTGTTTTTTCAAAATTAAACGCTTTTTTGACAAATTTCTAACGTAAAATACATGTTTCAATTTTTTTTCTGCTACTCTTCTAGACTAATCATTCTCATTTCTAGATCCCTATTACAACCTTTGAGGCTTGAGTGGGCGAAAATAGCTTTATTAGGTTCAAATTGCTCTCGCAAATTGCCAAATTGTGACACTTATGGCTTCTTTTTCTTTTCTTCACTACTACTGAAAAGTGAAAATCGAGAAGGTAGTTGAAAAAAAACAGGGAAAGTTCAATTAGTTTCTTTTAGAATTGTACAGAGAAAGTTTATGCTTTAAAATAGGTTTTAAATAGGTAAAGAATATTGCAAAAAGGAATTCTAGATTCTTATTACAACTTTTTAGGCTTGAGTGGGTAAATAGCTTTATTAGGTTTATTAGGTTTATTAGGTTATTAGGTTATTAGGTTTACTAGGTTTATTAGGTTTATTAGGTTTATTAGGTTTATTAGGTTTATTAGGTTTACTAGGTTTACTAGGTTTACTAGGTTTACTAGGCTTATTAGGTTTATTGAGTTTATTAGGTTTATTGGGTTTATTAGGCTGATTTTACTATCTAATGATTTGCTATTATGAAACTGTATGAAAAAGTAAAAAGGTTTTTTTGCTAGCATCAACCAGAAATGAAGGTCAAAACGATCAGCATTTCTGGTCGATGAAAGCTGATGTTTTTTTTTGAACAAATTTAGAGAAATATTACCGATAACTCGCAAAATTTGAGTACTTTTATGCAAATTGAGTAGTTTTTTGCAAATTGAATCTATATGTTTCAAATTTTCGTTAATTTCTTTTCAATCTTCAAATCCAATCCAATTTATTTGCTTGATATGAAATAATTGCAAATGAAATGACAATTTTTACTTTTATTCAATGCACAATCATTTGATCAGTACATCAAAAGTACATCAGTACATCAAAAGTACATCAGTACATTTCTATTCATTCAAAAACAATTCACCAATCATTGAGAGAACTTTTTACTACTAGCTTACACGGTTTGAGTTTTGATTTATCTATGATAAACGAGACACAACAATTGCCTGCATTCTGCAACAATTGCCTGCATTTAATGGACTGTTTGGATTCATTTTTCAATAACTGAGACTTGAATTATGAGAATGAAGTCTAAAAACTTGAAACCGAAACTTTAAGCTAAGCTAAGCTAAACTAGCTAGCTAAGTTAAGCTAAACTAGCTAGCTAAGCTAAGCGAAGCTAAGCTAAGTTAAGCTTAAGCAGTGGCAGTAAAGCCAGCGCAGATCCTGAAAACTGCTTTTTAACATTGTTACAATATTCCATTAAATATCCCAATTCCCTTTGATCCAAGGAAGTGAACGTTTCCCCTATGCCTTTCCATTCTTTTCCATTCCATTCTTTTCCATTCCCTTCTTTCTTTCTTTCTTTCTTTCTTTCTTTCTTTCTCATCTAATGCATTTCCCTAGGCTCATTACCTGTTCCCCCTTATTTCCTTTCCTTTCCATTCATCCACTCTTTCACCTTTTCAATGCTTTGTCTTCACCAAGCAAAACTCAAGGTCACCCAGAGCCAGAGTCATGTCAGCCGTATCGTTTCGGAAACTGCTTTTGAAAAATCTCGTTTCAGGTGTAAAAAAAACTCATTTGAAAGCTGTTCTGTTCATAAACAGAATAGCTTTCAAGCTGTTCTGTTTAGATTTCTTTTTAAAATCCTATTTAACTAGGCATTCAAGTAAATTCTTAATTATTTTCTAAATAAGAATTCAATGTTTCAAAATAAGGAGTGTTCAAATTAATGGTTTCAAATTAATTTGATGTAGATTTGGAATTGGGCAGGGCAGGCAATTCTGGGCAGGAGCCACTCGACTTTTTATTTCATTCAACACTTCTTTATCAAATCTACTTTTTATTAAACTTTTGCATTGAATTTGGTCTTCGATTTAACTTGATTTAACGTAACTTAATTTAATCTTCAACTTCATTAACGATGTGCTCGAAATCAATGAGTTTTTGGGAACACTTACTGTTCGTTTTCTTACTTACTTTACACTTACTTTTTCCTAATAGTATGACATGGCCAGAGGAGCGTCGTGTAGTCGTTTTCTAGCAATTTAAGCTCTTCAAATTTTCCATACAAAGTAACAATGTTGAAACACATTTTATTACAACAAAATTTCTTTTGTTCTGTCTTTTGATCACTAAGATAAGTAGAGCACTGAGATAAGTAGAGCACTGAGATAAGTAGAGCATTGCACGAGCATTACTCAAAGTATTAGTATCATTGCAACATCATATGTGTCATCTCTCACTTCACTCTTTCTTTTCCCCTTTTCAATCACCGATCTTAAGTGAGATTTACCATCTGCTCATTTCCCGGATTCTTTCTTTTTCGTTTACTTATCGAAAAGCAATTAAACAATGGGATTTGGGAAAAAATCACATCGATTTAGCAAAGTACCAAGTACCAAGTACTCGACTCGAAAATGGTACAAAGTACCAAGTACTTAAGTACCACTTTCACAAGTTTTAGCTCGATTTTAGCAAATAAAAACCTAATAAAGAACTTTGTAAAGTCAAAAAGGATTCAAAGAAGTTATTTAAAATCGTTATTCAAGATATGTTATTCAAAATTTTCTATCCATAACTACATTTATGAGTATACTCATGGTGTACAGGGTGAAAAGAGGCCTCTTCTCCCCTTTCCACCGGTAACCCGAGAACCCACAGCTGACATTCGGCTGCTTTTCCTTTCCAAATCCATCTCTTTCTTTCCTTTTTCTCTAAATCTCTCACGTATTTCTGAAATATTCGTCTTTTTATTCTTTTTGCTCTTTTTATTCTTTTTGTTCTTTTTGAATACGTTTCAATGGGTTTTGTCAGTACAACGAAGTGTTTCTTTGGCTTAGATTTAGTGCTCCTTTTAGGTCAATATTTTGGTCAATCTTGCTTTTAGATTTGGCCTAAAAACTTGCCTTTGGCTTGATCTAGAAATTTGACTCTTCTACCAAACCTTCTACCAACCCTGACTAGTACCAGAAAGCTATTTTAGAAAGCTATTTTATAAAAAAGCTTGAGATTTTTATTAATTGATCAATTAGATCAATTATCAATGATAAATGATAAAGAAAAATGTTAAGCCAGCAAGCAAGCAGCAAGCAAGCAATCTAGCAAGCCAGCAAGCCAGCAAGCAAGCAAGTAGGCTAGCAAGCAAGTAAGCCAGCAAGCAAGCAAGCAATCTAGCAAGCAAGTAAGCCAGCAAGCAAGCAAGCAATCTAGCAAGCAAGTAAGCCAGCAAGCAAGCTTCAAGCAAGCCTTATTTCTTTCAAGTAAACAATTACTTAAGTAAATTTGTATTGAAAGCTTTTACTCAAGCATATTCTAAACAAAATCGATTCACCAATTTGAAATATATAAAATATCTAACGCAAATCATTTTCATTTTCCTTTTCTATCACTCAAAAATATGTCCGATGCGCGAATTTATCCACGTCATCCTTCTGCATTGTTCATCTTTTCTTCGACATTGTCATCCTTGTATTTGTTAACGATTTACGCCAAAAATTCTAATCTATATCCCTCTAATCTATGTCCCTTATTCAATGCCTTTAGCACTAAACTCAATGCCAAATTGGAGGCAATTCTCCGCGTAACCAGCTTTGATAAACAACTCGAAAGTTATTAGATAAAGAATTTACATCAAAAATCAATCAATCAATCAATCAATCAAAATCTCATCCCCATCATCTCTCCCTTTATCATTCTTTTGCGAACCTTTATCCTTTATCAGTCTTTAGTAGGATTTGGAATGAGCTCCCATCTGGTATCTTCTCGTCTGTAGGAAAATTAAAAGTATCTGTAAACGAATTAGATCTTTTTGCCATGTCAAATCTGCCCTATATTTAATCTTTTTGTACCTGTGTCTAACTGCAGTCTTACTGTGCCATTTTTTAGTTTTCTTTCTTTTTTTTTGTGGAAGTATTGTAGCAATATGTTAGATGCGGTTATGTTTATCTGATTCGCTTCTATTCGCCCCCTGAATAAGCATATATATATATATATATATTACGTCCGAATCCGACCGAATGAGTGTGGTCGGATTAGTCGTCCGAAAACGACCACAAGATAATCAATGACCGGATTCGGCCGGATTCGGACGTCCGGATCGGATCCGGACGTAACATATATATAATCAATCAATCAAAATCAAATCATTTCTGCTAATCAATGAACTTCTAAAGAGCTTCTAAAGCTTCTAAAGTTCTTTAGAAGTTCTCTTCTAAGGAGCTAAAAATGTCATGTTTCAAAGTTAGTGTTTATAAATCACATTAAACCCTTTTAATGATATCATGATGTACAATGCTTTACAAAATTTGCTACTTTGTTTTGATTTGATTCTTTTCACACCTCGATTCTTTTGTTTACATCTTTCACATCTTTCTTCCCCCTTTCAAAGGCTTTTTGACACTTCGATCCTTTTACAAACATCATTCACAGTCTCACTCTAATATTTACTCGTATGGTGACCCAGAGAAATTTTGCAACCAAAAGCTTTCAACCACCACTTTTACTTTCTTTCGCTTCTGACTTTGAATTGTAAAAGTTGGTTTTCATTCAATCGGTTGTCAGTGTGTTGACAGTAGTTAATTGCCCCTTCCCCACCCTCCTTTCCATTCAGATATTCCCGGGCTGTGTGCCTAATTTGCATAATAACAAAGCATCCTCTGTAACCAGGGGACTCAATTCGAAATCCATCAAAAATTTTCCTCCTACAAATACTGAATATTTGATCAACTTTGTACAAGTGAACTTAAAGAAATGAGTAATTTCAAAAGGGAATCGGTGAAAGGGAATCGATTTTAAAGTTTGAGTTTCAAATTTTCGAAACGTTAGGTTTCAAAGGCTTTTCTAATAAAAGCTTAGAAAATTTCAAATTTTTTGAATCAAATTGAAGAACAAATTTCTGTATTTTTGCTAAAATTCAAGAAATAAAAGGAAAATGTTTAAAGTTTCAAAAGTTTCAAAGTTTAATTTTCAAAATTGGATTAATTAGAAGCTGTGCAATGAGTTTAATGTCTGGTTGCCTGTTTTTTTTACTTGAATTTCTCAATGGATTTCTTTGTTCTTTGTCTCAATGGAAATTATTAAATTGATCTTTTAAAAGTGTTCTTTTAAAAGTGATCTTTTTACAATCTTTCAATCACTTTTAACTTTCAAATCGATTTTATGAGTTTTATGAGTCTTTATAGTCTTTAAAGTCTTTATAGTCTTTATAATCTTTATAGTCTTTATGAGTTTATTCTTTTTATAAATTCTTTTATAGTCTTTATAGTCTTTATAGTCTTCTTTTATAGTCTTTACAGTATTCTTTTATAGTCTTTATAGTCTTTATAGTATTCTTTTATAGTCTTTACAGTATTCTTTTATAGTCTTTATAGTCTTTATAGTCTTTATAGTCTTTATAGTCTTTATGAGTTTATTCTTTTTATATATTTTTATAGTTTTATAGTCATTTTATGAGTCAAATCAGCTTTATTTATTTCAAATTGAATATTCAGATATCACAGTGAACGATCGCGATCCTCAAGACAACTTGAAGAGACAAAGAAATTCGATTTCTCAACGAAAGAGCCAAAATTCGAAGAGGAGAAGAACAATAACAGTGAGTTTTTTTTGGAAAACAATAGAAATCTATCGTATCTATCGTAGCTACAGTAAGCTACATTCATCTAATAAATCTAATACATCTATAGATGAATTAGGCTAGACTACAGTAGCCAAAGCTAGCTAGACGATTAGCTAGCTAGACGATTAGCTAGCTAGACGATTAGCTAGCTAGACGATTAGCTAGCTAGACGATTAGCTAGCTAGACGATTAGCTAGCTAGACGATTAGCTAGCTAGACGATTAGCTAGCTAGACGATTAGCTAGCTAGACGATTACTTCTTACAGTTAGGAGCTCTGTGCTCATTGAAATTGAGCTTTTGTGCTCATTGAAAACACGCAGCTTCTAGTAAACTGAATTCTCTTCATTTCCTATAGGTAATGAGTGAGTTTATCAAGAAGAATCAAGAATTCAGTGCACCAGAAGAAGTGTGTTTAGTCGTTTTTACCGTAACCTACTCAGAAAACAGAAAATTTGTCTAATAATCGAAAATCAATCATGCTTTTCCACTTCATCTAATATTTTCTGTGTTAATCAAATGTCCATTTCTAAATCCTAATCCATAATATTGATTTAAAAGAAGTAAAAACTTGTATGTTAAAGTTAAATATGAGATTTGGTCACTAACTACTACTATATACTAGATTTGGTTTAAAATTTGGTCCAAATTTGTCTCTTAATGAGCTTATTGAGCACTAGTAAGTCATAAAACCAAACGATGAGATATAAAAGACTCCAACAACAAATAAGATTTTTAAGATTGTCAATTAAGATTTTCAATTAAGATTATTTTATAAAAGCTGAAAAGAATATTGATTATTTTCTCTGAACTTTAGCCAAGGCAGCGCAAGTTTTCATCCCGCAACAGCCTGGCCATTCCACTTGGGGAGCGATCGCCGGCGAGTTAAAAAATCGACAAAAGATTGCGAAGGTTTGTTTGAGAAGTTCATGTTTCAAATTTTTTCAAATTCTTGATGCAAATCGTTGTTTAATGGAGGAATTGTACGGCTCTTCTAACGTATTTTGATTAAAATTTCCTTGTTTTTTCAGACTTTAGGAAGTTCTTTAAGAAGACTTTAAGAAGACTTTAAGAAGACTAAATTCATCGATAGATGTCTATAGAGTAATCTCTATCCAATTTTATAGCCAAACACTTTGAAACAAGCAACTTTTCAACAAAGCAACATCGTTGAAAAAGCTTACAGATCTTTTTCTCAGTTAATAGCCGATAAAGCAAGGAATTAAGCAAGCAAAATTTGAAACTAAATCCTTTAATTGTTTCAAAAAGCTTCTCTCAAAGGCATTTCAAAATATTGGGTTGATGAATTGAAAACTGCGGGACTTTGAACTAAAATTTATTCAACATAAAACGATCAATTCATTCCAAAGAATTTCCATTATTATTGACGACTTCTGCCCATTTTACAGGCAATTTGCGGATTCCTCTTTCGTGGTAGGATTTTGGTTTGTGTGTGAGACAAGTGTGAGACTCAAAAATGGAGGACTGGAGATGTCAGCTGTCAGCCCAGTTTGTGCACTCTCTTCAAAAGAAACCCATTTTGGTGTCAATACAAAAGTTGTAGAGAATCAAAAATTAGGCTTATAGCCAAATTTTCAAAAAGATACACTTAGTAGTTTCGCTTAAAATGCAAGTTTTGTGAAAATTCGTAAATTTCGCATTTCTTGAAAACCAGCTTTTGACTCGTTCTGAAAATTTGGATATAAGCTTGATTTTTGATTCTCTACAACTTTTCCATTGACACCAAAATGGGTTTCTTTTGAAGAAAGTGCTCAAACTGTCACATATGACAATAGCCCGCAGTTTTCAATTCACCAACCCAATACATATTCAATATATTACAAACAATTTGAAGCCCATAACTTTTTGTTCGTTCGTTAACTTCTCAAATTTCCTTTTTCTTTTACTTTCATTGAAACATGGTTTTTTTCGCCTAGTTGTCGATCGCTTTTGCGCAAAAATGATTGAAATGATCGACAATCGGCCTTTTTTTTTGCCGGTTCCCCATTTATCCGGTTCTTTTCCATTTTGATGGTGAAAAACACCCCGATGAGCACAATTTTCAAATCGAAATTTCTAATCTCTCAGTGATTTTATTCGTAATCTTTTGCTAAAACAAATCTAATCGAGCAATTCTTCAATAATTTAGCTAAATCGGTGTTTCAAAGCTAACCAAACTTGGCTAAACATTTCGTTTATTGATCTAAGTCAATTTGGATCTGATTCATTGTATTCTTGTCTAAAATTACCCATCATTGATTCCTGAATTGTGAATTATACTGGATGGCGAGCTCTTCTTTAAGACTATCACCAAATCCTTCGATTCCACGTCGATCAATTTGAAACTCGAGTTTTTCTATCGCAAAAACTCTTCCCAAAACCTCCATATTTCATTTCTAATTGCTGCCAAAAGCTCAAATTCAATTCAAATTCACTTTAAATGCTATTAATCTAAGTATTATACTTTAAATCAAATAAAATTCTCCTTAAAATGTACTATTTCGGCGATTGCCTTGACTCTTTCTACCACTCGACGCTTTCTTTATTGGTGCGCTGTGCGGTGATCCCGAAAGCTGTTGCGGCTATTGAAGTAATCTAATTTGACAATGGTTTTTTTGAACATTCAAATCAAGATACTAGTTATATGGACACAAAAAAGCTGTCAAAAAAAGGCTGTCTTACACATCAAGTCGATTGAATGGAGACAAAATTTGCATTTTGATTGATATTCTTTTGATCAACTTGACTTTCATCACTGAAAGTTGTTTTCAACCATTTTCAGAAGCCCTATTTAGTCCTATACTGTTTCTAGACACTTCAAAATACCTAGGAATTCGTCTTAGTGCTTTGGCACCACGACACAGATAGCCAACAACCAACACCACCAAGCAACCAACACCCTCGAGCCTGAATGAACAGGCTGAGAGGAGTCGCTACGTCGCTGAAGCCTTCTGAGTGCTTTAACTGCTTCAGCTTTAGTGCTTTGGCAAAAAAGGTTTTGACAGTGAGGGGATTCGAACCCGGGACAAACTGAGAGACAAACTGAGAGACGAGGATACTAACCACTACACCATCCAGCCACTTGGCGAGCCAAAGTAATTTGCTTCTATACCGCGGTGGCACCGTAACAAGGGCCCAAACTTGTAAAGCATTTTCCTCGAAAATTGAATGCTATGCAGGAAAACTGAAAAATCCTTTATCCTTTTTTTGTCATAAAAAAGTCTTCAAGTGTCTCAAAAGTCTCAAAAAAGACAAAAAAGTCTTTTTGAGACACGAGTTTCAAGTTAAGGCTTAATCAAAGTGCAAAACATATTTAAAGGGTTTTTTTATGACAATTTTCAACATATCTTTCAAACAGAAACCCCAGTCATTTTCTTTAAAATTTGAATCTGCCACCATGGTCGAGCTGCCGTCATGGCCGAGTGGTTAGGAGTCTTGTATCCCAGCCATGGCCGAGTTGTTAGGAGCCTTGTATCCCAGCCATGGCCGAGTTGTTAGGAGTCTTGTATCCCAGTCAGGACTAGTGGTTAGGAGTCTTGTATCCCAGCCATGGCCGAGTTGTTAGGAGTCTTGTATCCCAGTCAGGACTAGTGATTAGGAGTCTTGTATCCCGGCCAGGACCAGTGTTTAGGTGGTCTTGTATTCCAGTCGAATTTCAAGGTGACATTTCTGCCCTAGGTCCATACCACAAATCGATGTAAATCCCAAATTTCGAGCAGTTATCAGAGTCAGATTGATTCATCACCCAAAAAGTGTTAAAATAAAGAAAGCCAACTGACATGAGCCTTTTGAAAAGTATTTCTCAACAAAATCCCTTACTCATTCAACGACCAGAAAAGCATCAATTATATCTTTTTGCTTTATTTTAACCTTTTTTTTTATCATTCAAGATCTTTTTTATCACTTGATAAAGTTGATTAAGTTAAAAAATTTTTACAAAAACCATTCAAAAACTTTTGGTTTTTGTCGAAAATCAAAGATTATCATCTTTTTTTTCATTTTTTTAAGTAAAATTAAGCAAAATTAAGTAAAATTAAGCAAAATAAAGCAAAATAAAGCAAAATTAATTGAAGTAAAGCAAGTTTTTAAATAGAAAATTCAAGTTTTAGGCTCATTTAACCGATTTTTTTTTGATGCAAGAGCTTTTTTTTGCGTTTTTTGTCCATTTAACCGACTTGATTCACTCTTTTTTCTGTTCATTTAACCGAAATTTACCAAAATAAATCAAAAACCGAGTTTTAAGACGTTTAAATACCGTAAGATCCACTGTAAGCATTATTGAAGCCATTGGGATTTTATGGAAAGGGTGACCGCTTAATTTGCGACACGAGACGGTAAACTGTGTGCTAGAGGCGGTAAACTTTGTGCTAGAGGCGGTAAACTGTTTGCTAGAGACGGTAAACTGTGTGCTAGAGACGGTAAACTGTGTGCTAGAGGCGGTAAACTGTGTGCTAGAGATGGTAAACTGTGTGCTAGAGACGGTAAACTGTGTGCTAGAGACGATAAACTAGAGACGTCTCTTAACTAGAGACAATTACAGTTGTGCAGTTAAATCATTTCCTGAAACGTGGCGAGTTTTTCGATATTTCAAATCAAAGCCTGGCTTTAAGTTGTAAAGAAAATGTTTAAAGCTTTAAAGCTTATCAAAGGCTCTGAAAAGCTTCATAACTTATCAAAGGCTCTTTTTCATAAGACCTAATTTGAAACATGATTTTTCCAATTCTACAGTTAATCCAATAAATCTAGAAAATGAGACAAATAGTAAACTGATATGCTATTTGATTGAATACAATATTATTGAATACAATATAAATTTCTTTTTAAGCTTGGTTTTAAGATAATTTTATGCTATTTTATGCAAGCTTTATATAATTCAGGTTCGTCCTACTCCACACATTCGACTCGGCATCACCAAAGCAAATCCATCGACAACAAGTGGAATGGCGGTGAAAGAAGAAAGCGCTTCTCCTCACGCAAAAGCCCATTCCGATTACGCGCAATTGGGCGATTTCCATTTGTGCTCACCAAATTCCACAGCTCCGAACTCGAGCACTTCAAGTGAGTCTAGGAAATTCGAGAGAAAGAAAGACAAATACTCCTGAAAAGTAGTACTCTTTTAAAAGTAGAGTAACTAATTTAAATGATTATAAATCTATAAATCAAATTCTGACTTTAAATCGCCGTGCATAACTACATTTCGGTACTTGTCGGTACTTGTCGAAAGTTCGGTACTTGCCGGGTATAAATCCACAAAGACTCATCTCGGCTAAGCATCCCCATCCGAGTCTTTTCGGTTATCGATTTTCGTTCAACTGATCGACTGATCTAGAGACTGATCACTTCAGCACTCTACTTGATTGAACCCATCAGCTCTTGTCAGCTCTTGTCAGCTCTTGTCAGCCCTTGTCAGCTCTTGCTTAACCTCCTTGCTGAGTTGAGTCTCTGTGGATGTAGAGCCAACAAGTACCAAGGCAACTATGATGTACGATAGAAAAATGTACAAGAGCATCTTTTAGAAAACAGTATCCGTCTACAGTAGATTACAGGATCCTTACTTCAAGCCTAGATTTACCCTTTTTATACTATTATCTTGTATCTTTCTTATAGTAAGAGTTATCGTAACCCATTCAAAAGTCTGTTTTTTTCAAAATTTTAAGTATCATAACTAAAGGCAACGGTACTTGTCGGTTATAAATTCACAAAGTCTCATCTCGGTTAAGCATCCCCATCCGAGTCTTTTCGGTTATCGATTTTCGTTCAACTGATCGACTGATCACTTCAGACGAGCGCTCTACTTCATTGAACATAATCACAAGTCACAAGTTGTCAGCTTACTTAACCTTCTTGCTGAGTTGAGTCTCTGTGGATGTATAACCGACAAGTACCGAAAGTCCGATAATGTCTCAATTTGAAACAGTGATTTTTCAAAGCTACATTACATCAAAGCTACATTACATCAAAGCTATATTACATCAAAGCTATATTACATCAAAGCTATATTACATCAAAGCTACATTAACCTATTGAAAAGTTTGCTAAACGTAGAACAAATAGAAATTGCTAAAGATTTCTGATAATATTATGCTTTCAATAAGCGTCAAAAAAGATAATTTTCAAGATTCAAGCTTTATTTTCAAGATAAAGCTTTACAAAAATGTTCAAAAGTCATTTGCAAGAATGATTAGGTTATCTAATGAAGAAAAAACCGTATTTTATTTGATGGCTTGAGCTTTATTCAATTAGAAAATGAATTTGAGTGAAAGACTTAGTACTTAACCAAACAAATTTCGTTTCAAAATCATCGAAATTCATATTCATCCAAAAGGTACTAACTCACTTAAAAAGCTACTTATAATGAAAAAATTTGAAACATTGATTTTTTCATTGATTCAAAACTTTACTTAAACATGTTAATGAGCTTTTTTTAGATGAGATTAGAAGCTAGAGCAACTCTTAACCACTCAACACTCAAATAACTCTTAAATTTCAGGTTTATTATTCCCAAAAGACGAAGACGCCGTGTCAGTTGCGGGAACGGTTTTCAACGAGCCTTGGGACAGTAATGTTTGGGAGAATCTATTGGACTTGGCTCAGCACGGCGATCCGCGGCCGAATCGTTGGTTTTTTCTGAGGAAATTATCGAGAAATTGAATAGATTGCAATAGTTTTATTAGTATTTGATCATTACTGGAGGTTACAACCATTAGCTTGATCATTAGCTCGATCATTAGCTCGATCATTAGCTCGATCATTAGCTTGATCATTAGCTTGATAATTAGCTTGACCATTAACTCGATCAAATTCTACATAAATAATTTCAAACATTTCGTTACAATTCGCGAAGAAAATCAGCCACCTTTTATCAACAAAGTTACCGTAAACTGTAGAGTAAAAGACTTGTTAGCTTAAATATTCTTAAAATTATTTTAAGCACTTTAAACAGCACTTTGATTGCGAAGATGAGGTCAAAAAGTGGTTCAGAGACTTTTTTCACCCTTTTTCACAAACTTCTAAGACTTTTTAGAAGAAAAGGATCCGGAAACTGCCAGAAAAATAAGAAAAGTTTATCAAAAATAATCGATAATATTTAGATTAACTTACAGTAAATACTGTAATAGTACCCCACCCCCATAATGACGGCGCAGAGCGTTGCGTAGTCTAGCTTTGGACGCGTTTTTCTCGACACTGGTTTATGCTACAGGTATCAAGTAGGTATCAAATAATAGCCCTGAATTTCAGTTATTTTTTGCTACCTAAACGCGCATTATAGCATAAATCAGTGTCGAGAAAAACGCGTCCAAAGCTAGACTACCCAATGCTCTGCACCGTCATTATGGGGGTGGGGTACTATTACAGTATTTATGGTAGGTTCCTGTTGTTCTTGAATCAAATTTTTGTTTTAAAGTGCATCATTTTCAACTTAACAACTCATATTTTAAGTCACATTTCAGGAATGAACGAAACAATCACTGAAGAGGAGGACACAAGCTCGGATCGAACCGGGGAAAGCAGTCAGATGCAGGATTCGGACGATGAAATGGTTTGGGAAAGATTGGAAAAGATTTTTGTAATTTATAAATATATAATAATCATTTTTATAGGTTAAATTTCTAAGTTATGTTCGTTCCTAGGTGTAAACGGATATGGAATAGAATTTGGGTTAATTTAAAGAGATCCTTGTGATATCCCGCCATCTCTAACACCCCGATAACCCAACTCAACCCCTCCAACGTATTAGAGGAGAATCCCAGTGAAATCGACCTGAACTGCAGTTGCATAGACCCGGAAGATATGTATCTTTATTTACAGTAGTACGATAAGACGAACAGATTACAAATGAGTGAAAGGGGGAGGGGGATTCGTAGTGAGAGCCTCACTTGTCCTCCTAGGCAATCCCAAGGGCCGCCCCTTCTCGGCGATGAAAGGGATAAGCACAGGGGAGAACACATTTACATAAGAATAGACAAATCATTCAATAATAACAATAGTAACTAAAATATCAGTTTGGCTCGGAGCTGACAGTTATCAGTTATAAATCGAAATTTTTACCTGTTTGAAATTTAGTGGAATCGATTAAAGTTTTCATATTGAAAGCTAGATTTCTTTTTTATAGATTACTAGATTTGAATACTTTGAAACATTTATTTTGCAATCAAAACAATTCACTGAACAATTCAGAGAGTTCAAAAAAAAATATTGTTTCAAAATGAGACGAGTGAAAAGATGGAATTGACTTTAGTTCACCTTGGCCTCAAGATTCTAAGTTTGATTCTAAAATTTGATTCTTTTAATTGTTTAATTGTTTTGATTGTTTGGAAAAATTTGATTCTTTATTGCTTTATCGCTTTGGATAATAACTAGCTTTTTTAAAACCTGGAAACCTTTTTAAAATGCTTTAAAAACTCTATTGAGCAATGATTGAAAAACCAATGTTTCAAAATGAATTGAGATAAAAAGGAGAAATGAAGTGCAATTTCCTTCTTTTCGTTTTTCTTTTTTCATTGAATACTTTGAAACATTTGTTTTGCAATCAAAGCAATTGACTTTAGTTCTGCTTGGGCTCAAGATTCTAAGTTTCATTCTAAAATTTGATTCTTCATTGCCTTATCGCTTTGGATAATAACTAGCTTTTCTAAAACCTAAAAACCTTTTTAAAATGCTTTAAAATCTCTATTGAGCAATGATTTAAAAACTAATGTTTCAAAATGAATTGAGATAAAAACGAGAAATGAAGTGTAATTTCCTTTGGTGGTCTTTTGATCTTTGAATACTTTGAAACATTTATTTTGCACTCAAAACAATTCAATGAACAATTCCATGTACAATTCCAACAATTCAAAGAAAACTATTGTTTCAAAATGAGAGGAGTTAAAAGATTTTTTTTCTTTGGTCATTCAATACTTTGAAACATTTATTTTTCGATCAAAGCAATTGACTTTAAGAACTTTAAGAAATTGACTTTAAGAGCTTGGGCTCAAGATTCTAAGTTTGATTGTAAAATTTGATTCTTTTAATTGTTTAATTCTTTTGATTGTTTGGAAAAATTTGATTCTTTATTGCTTTGGATAATCACTAGCTTTTTTAAAACCTAAAAACCTTTTTAAAATGCTTTAAAAACTCTATTGAGCAATGATTTAAAAACCAATGTTTCAAAATGAAATGAGATAAAAAGGAGAAATGAAGTGCAATCAAATCATTTTCTTTGTTAGTCATTGAATACTTTGAAACATTTATTTTGCAATCAAAACAATTCAATGAACAATTCCAAGAGTTCAAAAAAAAATAATGTTTCAAAATGAGACGAGTTAAAAGATTTTTTCCTTGGTCATTGAATACTTTGAAACATTTATTTTTCGATCAAAGCAATTGACTTTAGTTCTGCTTGGGCTCAAGATTCTAAGTTTCATTCTAAAATTTGATTCTTTATTGCCTTATTGCTTTGGATAATAACTAGCTTTTTAAAAACCTAAAAACCTTTTAAAAATGCTTCAAAACCTCTATTGAGCAATGATTTAAAAACCAATGTTTCAAAATGAAATGAGATAAAAAGGAGAAATGAAGTGCAATCAGGTCATTTTCTCGGTTGGTCATCAAATTCTTTGAAACATTTATTTTGCGATCAAAACAATTGAATGAATTCCAAGAGTTTAAAAACTTTACTTTTTAATATCAATAACTTTTAGGATCTTCCCCTATCAACGAGCTACTACAGCTCGTCCACACAACGCAAAATCCCTTCCGATCATGTGACGGTGAAAGCATGGGAGAAAGAGAACAGTCATTATAGGTTCGTGGATCGGCTTATTCAAGAATTTTTGTATTAAAAAGCGAACGGCTTAAAGAATATTAGACTTTTATTCTCTAAACATTAGCCATCTTAACATTGAAACATTGAAACTCAATTTTTAGCAATTTCGCGACGATCGACTCGAGACGCGAGGGCTCACAGAGGGGAACTTTGGGAAGAAATCGGATACCAAGCCCCGAACCGAGCATGCATTCGGTGAGAAAACATTTTGTTGTGAAAGTGGCGAGCATTTAGAACATTTAGATGTTTTCGAGCATTTAGAAACAGAAATTTACCATTTTACTTCAATTTTACGATTAGTTTGACGTAGAGTTCGGCAAACAAAACCAAAACCAAAACAGACCAAAACCAAAACCAAAACACCAAAACACCAAAACAAACCAAAACTCAATTTGCATATAAATTAACATGTAAATTTAAAATTGTAAAATGCAAATTAGCCTTTCACTTTTTCTCACTCCACAAAATCTCGCGGCCGAAAAAAGGACCAAAACACGACCTCGAAATTTCGAAATAAAAAAATAGCCTATGGGATAGATTTTTGGACGCTGATTTCAAATCTGCAAACAGATTTTCGCTAGCTCCTCCCAATCGCAAGATATTGGCGAGTTTTGGTTTGTTTTGGCTTTGGTTTTGGTTTTGGTTTTGGTTTTGGTCTGTTTTGGTTTGTTTTGGTTTTGGTCTGTTTTGGTTTTGGTTTGTTTTGGTTTTGGTTAAGTTTTGTTTTCCGAAGTCTAGTTTAACGACTATTTTACGATTTTCAGAAACCTTTAGTTTTCGAGAGAGAAATTCAACAAGAAACACTTAGAGAAAATTTATTTAGAGAAAAGCATAGGTTAATTGGTGAATTTGTGATTTTCCATAAGGAAATACGAAAAGAAACGAAAAGACTTTCTGGACAGTGTAACAATATAAGCACTTCAAGTAAAAAAAATACCTGAGCCGGCTTGTTTCTGGGTGAATGACGAAGCAGGGCAGCCTCATGACGTTGAAATTCAACAAGAAACACTTTTTATTTAGAGAAAAGCATAGGTTAATTGGTGAATTTGTTATTTTTTTTTAATGAAATTATGAAATTATGAAAAGAAACGAAAAAAAAGACTTTCTGTACAGCCTAATAAGTCCACAAAAGGCGTGTTTATGAAGGTAAATGCAGTTAAATGATAAATTACTATCATTCAATACAACCTACCGTAAATACTGTAATTGGACCCCACCCCTCTAATAGTACCCCACCGTAGAGGGGGGGGGGAATAATACCCCACCCCTCTAACAGTACCCCACCTCCACCTAACGCGTAACTACAAACAACTCTTTTAAAGCGGAAAATTTTCATGTATTTCCTTATTATGATTCAAAAAAGCTGAAATTTCTTTCAAAAGAAGCCATGGCTCGATGGAGTCGTTCTTGAGGCGTCACCAACTTTCTTTGAGGGCACCAACAACAACTTGTCAAAAGCTGCCGAGTCAAATTTGAGAAGGCCATCGTCGAGCACATTCTGAGGCTGAACAAGACAATCAAAGAAGGCGATTACAGGCACAGTGGTGTAAAATAGTGACCCACCCTCTAATAGTGCCCCACCCTCTAATAGTACCCCACCCTAGAGGGGAGGGAAAAAATAGTACCCCATGGGGTCCAATTACAGTATTTACGGTAATGCATTTGGATTATCTAAATGATCAATTATTATCATTCAATAAAGCCTAATGCATTTGGATTATCTTTCTAGATTGCAGGAATCGTATTTTCTCAAATAGTAGTGCAGCCGGCCCCAGCGAGCCGAGTTGATGACTATTTTCCAGTTGATGACTCGATTTCCAGAAACCAGAAAAACGCGCCTAACAGCTGGTTTTATTATAATTGAAACATTGAAATTGGAAACACTTTTTTCATTTCAACATTCATTGCAACAACACAGTGGAAACATTTTTCGTTGCACTCTCAATGTTTCAACATGTTTGGGATGTGTGATAGGAGCATTGAATTAACTAATAAACTAATTAACATACCGTAGATGTTTTTGAGGTTTTTGCTGCTTCTCCGCTAATGTGTGAACGAAAAATCTGAAAAAATTGTGAGAAAATGAGAAAACCTCGATCAGATCGTCCTCCATCAGAATTTGTTTTCATTTTTCAAAATGGTAATTTGGTTTTGAATGAAAATGTGAAAAATGGACTTTGGGATTGCCTTGGAGGACATTTACCGTATTCTCTCTAATAGTAGTTGCAATTGTAATGTAATTGCAATTGTAATATGATTTAAATTTACTATTTAAATGATCAGTACCTGTTTTTACATCTAATTTGCTCTAAATTCAAGAATTTCAAGTACCGTATTCTCTCTAATAGTAGTACGCACTACTATTTTTTCAATCCCCTCTCGGACCGCAATACTATTAGAGAGAATACTATTCGATAGTGCAATACTATTAGAGAGAATACGGTATTCACATTATTCATGTGAATAAATGTAAATTGATTTTCCAGTTACCCCGCGCCGTTTCCCGTTTCTCTGAGGCCTGCATGGGTAGTTTGGACGATTTGCCTACCCTTCAAAATCTCAATTCTTTCTCGCCGTTGATCTCGAGTCAACGAAAGAAGCCACAAACGGAAGAATTCGGAGCGATCACCATTCAGAAATATGTGGAAAAGTTAGTTGTTTGCAAATCTATTCTATGCAGATCCGAAAAAAATACTAGAGCTATTTTTTCTTTTGTTAAATTGATTCCAGTTGAAACGTGTTTCAACTACTCTTTTTAATGATCAAAAGATCTCTGTTCTTGCACTGAACTGTACTGAACAATCTATAATTCATAAAATTTCAGAATAATCCGTTTATCGGTTTATTCTGAAGTTTTGAATCAATGAGAATCAATCAATGAAAAAATCAATGTTTCAAATTTTTTCATTAGAAGTAGCTTTTCAAGTGAGTTAACGCTTTTTCGATGAATATGTGATGATTTTGAAATGAAATTTGTTTCGTTAAGTACTAGGTCTTTGACTCAAATTCATTTTCTAATTGAATAAAGCTCAAGCCATCAAATAAAATACGGTTTTTTCTTCATTAGATAACCCAATGCGTTTCTTGCGTTTCTCTAGCTTCTAAACTCATCTAGAAAACTCATTAACATGTTTAAGTGAAGTTTTCGATCAATGAAAAAATCAATGTTTCAAATTAACTTATTACAAGTAGCTTTTTAAGTCAGTTAATGCTTTTCGACCGCCGTCGCGTCTAAGTTGACTCTAAAACAAACACTCATATCTCGACACCAGTACGTTTGTTTCTGCACGCTTTGATATCAAATTAAAGTAGAGAAGATGGGTGATTTTTTGAGATATGATACATATTTTTAGCATTAAACAGCGTTTAGAAAAAAATGATTGAAAATTGTCAAAAAAAAGAGGCGATTTTTCATCAACCTCAAATCAACATCTCAAACAAACGCTCAGATCTTAGCACTTGTTCGTTTGTTTCTAGGCGTTTAGGTATCAAATTAAAGTAGAGGAAATGGGTGATTTTTTGAGATATAACACATCTCTTTAGCATTAACCAGCGCTTAGAAAAAGATGATTGAAAATTGTCAAAAAAAAAGCGATTTCAATTTGATACCCGTCAAATTGAAACACATTTTTTGAAACCAATTTCTCAAAGATTAAACCATTCTTGAATTCTGTACAAAACTACAAAAAAACTGTTGAAATAATTGGTAAATTTATCGTTATAGAGCTAAAATTAAAGAATAATACAAATAAAATTGTTTAATGATTGTTACTGGCTTTTTTTTGCTCGAATTTGAAACAAGCTTTTTGAAATCAAACTTTAAAATCGACAACATTCGAAAAATTCAATTTAAAGATCAAATATCTTTCGGTATCAAGAAATTTTTGAAAATTTAGACTAGCTGAAAGCAGTACAACGGTTTTTGGGGCCACAGTCCGACGTTTTATCGAGTGCACAGTCGAGGGAGAGGAGTGTGATCCAATGGTTTGTTTTTGGTGTTTTCAAGTTCTTGTTTTTAGGAAATTTTACAAAGTTAACCCATTTTGAGGCGTTATTAAAAACAGAGTTTCAACTTTAAAGTTAATCTATTTCTTTAAAGGCTTTTAATACCCTTTTTTGGGCTTTTGAAATCGATGCTATTTGGTACTTTTTGCTAACTTGAAATGGAAATGGCTCAGGCATTTTTAATGCTCAGGCTCAGGCATTTTTAAGGCTCAGGCTCAGGCTCAGGCATTTTTAAGGCTTAGGCTCAGGCATTTTTAATGCTCAGGCTCAGGCATTTTTAAGGCTCAGGCTCAGGCATTTTTAAGGCTTAAAAAGGTTTTTAAAAGCTATCTGTTAAAAGCCTTAAAGCTTTCAAAAAGCTTTTTTAGCTTAATCAATCGATTTTCTTGTAGGTTGTTGTTCGAAATGTTCGCCAATTCATTAACGGAATCAAGAACTACTTGGTGAAACATGGAGAAGGCGATTTGCATGAGGTGAACATTAAAAAGACAAGAGATAAAAATTAGCATAAAGCTGGTTTTCAAGCCATCAACTTTACAAGATTTTCAATCGATTTTAAAAGATTTTTTCCAGCTAATCACCATAGAAACATCTCGTCTGAACGCGAATCGAATCCTCAACATTGACGCTATTCTTGAAGCCGTTTTGCACAAGATTTTGCTGAGTAAGTAAATGAAAAAGAGAAATATAAACAAAAGAAACAAAAGAAACAAAGCTCTGACGAGATACCGTGTTTCAACGTGGCGAGGCCGTAGCCCGTCTGTCTGTCTGTTATTACTGCGTCAAATACATTTAATGGCCCTATTACGCTGCACTTTTTTTGTTTCATTCGCTTTATATGTGCTAACCCCTTAGACAAGGCTACCCATTTGGATCCCTGGTTATCCCAATCCCGAGGGGAGGGGGCCTAGGGGAACCAGTCTTGGGAACCAGTCTTGGGAGCCAGTCTTGGGAACCAGTCTTGGGAACCAGTCTTGGGAACCAGTCTTGGGAACCAGTTCACCATATGGGTGCGGTTACCTACAGCACTCGGTTCATGGAAGATCTCCCTGACTCAACTGCTGGATTCGAACCAGAGATTCGAACCAGAGATTCGAACCAGAGATTCGAACTAAACAAGCCGAATATGTCAATATTTCAAATATTGCAAGCACTGACTCTAATGTTAATTAGCAAACGGGCACCAGCTACCGTAACGCTTGTAAATATTTTTTAGTCGATTTTACGGTAATCTTTACGATTACATGCGAAACTACTGTAAAAAACTACTGTCGAAACTACTGCAAAATCTAGTTACAGTTTACGGTAGACAAAGGCTTAAAGTTTCGTTTTAGAGTGATTAATTAACAATATAAAAGCTTTCAAAAGTTCAAAGTTATAAAATCTTAGAGGCTAGACGGTTTCAGAGCATAATCTGTAATAAATTTAGAAGTTTTGTTTGTTTTTTGTTGGTTTCAAAGTCTTTCTTGTGTCGTTTTGTTGTCTCAAAGTTATTCAAAGTTCTATTAGATCTGTTAGATCTGTTAGCTTTTCTCAAAATAATTTTCAGACTCAATCAAAAATCCAATAAATGAATTGAATCAAAATTGATTGAATTTTGATTGTAAAAGAAGTCAAATTTATGAAAAGTTTACCCGATTTACTCGTTTACTCGTTTACTCGTTTACCCGTTTACTCGTTTACTGGTTTACCCGTTTACCAGTTTACCCGTTTACTGGTTTACCCGTTTACCCGTTTACTCGTTTACTCGTTTACCCATTTACTCGTAAGTTCCCCAAATCTGAATTCAATTTCAGGACCAGTGAAGCCACATTTGTACCATTTAATGGTAAAAGAGCAATCGAGAAGCGGAACACTCCAAGCTTTATCTACGAATCTCTCATTGGCAAAGGGAATGTCACTCAAAGAGCTCGGGTTTCGCAATCCTGAACAGGTTTGTCTTACAAAAAGTTGAGAATTTAATTCAGCTTTCAAATTTCATTACTCTTTTCAGCTCGCGCAGCCAAACGCGATGACAATGGAGCAGATTAAAGTGTGTCTACGGAAAATGCAACACCACTATTCACCATTGAAGAAATTCGAGAACTTATTGAGGTAAATAGTTAAATCGAAATCCTGTTTTTGACATATTTATCATTTAATTTGTTTACTTTTTATTCTTATAAACTTTTCTTGATAGGTTTTAAGTGATTTTATAAGTAGCTAGTGCAATTTAGTGTATAATTAGCGTAATTTTGTTTTGCCTTTTGCCTTTTGCAGATAAAGCATCACGAAAGTTAGTTGAAAATGTACAGAAAAGTTTAGTACCAAGAAATTTGCTATTAGCCAAAGCTGAATTTCGTCATTGATTTCTCTCAAAAGTCGCAATTGAGTTTTAAAAAACGAATATCCTAATATAGACTGAATACCGGAACCCAGCTAAACTTAACTGAATACCTTAAACTAGACTGATACCCCCAATCGAAACTGAATACCGGAACCCAGCTAATCTTAACTGAATACCTTAAACTAGACTGATAACCCTAATCGAAACTGAATACCGGAACCCAGCTAATCTTAACTGAATACCTTAATCAAGACTGATAACCCTAATCTAGACTAAATACCGTGATCCAGCCAATCTAGACTGAAAACGTAATTGAAACTAGAATTAGTTGAAGTAATTAGTTGCGTTAAAATTGTGTCTTACAAATGTTAAGGCTTTAAAAAACGAAACAAAATCGTATTTTTTATCTACTCTTTGTTTATTTATGATCTATTTAAGCGATTTAAGCGATTTAAGCGATTTAAGCGATTTAAGCGATTTCTATTTAAACATTTTGAAATTAGAGCAGTTTTTTTAGAGCAGTTTCTCTTGTGGCTCAACCGGATCGTTGGTCGTTGGATGAGGAGAATTCGGGAGGAGTGAACGGATCGGAAACTCTTCAAAGAACGCAATCGATTCACATTCCGAATGCAGATGGTATAGAAAGCAAAAGAAAAAAAAAGAATGGATTAGAGGGATTAGAGGGCTGCTTGATCAAGAAAAATACTCAAACTTGAAACTTTGACTTTCAAATTTTCGTTTCAAGTATTCAATTTGGAACTGTATCCGAACCATATTGGAACCATATTGGAACCGTATCTGACATAGATACGGTTCAGATACGGTTCCAATATGGTTCCAATATGGTTCCAATATGGTTCCAATATGGTTCCAATTTGGTTCCAATATGGTTTCTACAAATCGTTCCAATAAGGTTCAAATATGGCTCCAATATGGTTCCAATATGGTTCCAATTTGGTTCCAATATGGTTCCAATATTGTTTCTACAAATCGTTCCAATATGGTTCGAATATGGTTTCTACAAATCGTTTCAATAAGGTTCAAATATGGTTCCAATATGGTTCCAATTTGGTTCCAATATGGTTTCAATATTGTTTCTACAAATCGTTCCAATATGGATCCAATATGGTTCGGATACAATTCCAAATTTAATACTTGAAACGAAATCTTTTCAAATTTGAAACTCAAAGTTTTAATTTTGAGTATTTTTCTACATAAATATGACGTTTTTATCATAAGCGTTTCTTATAAACAAAAAACTAACAGAAAACAATAAAATATTCATTATTATCTATTAGCTTTCATCAATCAACATATACAGGGTGCGGCAGAATTATAGGTGCATGACATAAAGACGGAAAACGAACCTTCGCTCTTGATTTTGCACTCGAATTTATGTTTTTGTTGTTATTTTATGATTGAATTTGTATTTGTAAATTATAATTTTTTATAACTTTGAGTTTCAGGCTATGGTTCGCGCTTCCCCGCATCGACAATTGATCGTGGAACTTCATCGGAAGGGCGAATCGGCGACCGTGATCGGAAGAAAGTTGGGAGTGCATCGAAACGTTGTTAACCGAGCCATTCAACGCTACAACGAGTTGGGATCAATGTCTGATATGAGGTGTTCGTCCATCTGTGATGACGAAAGGCAACATCAAGAAGGTCAGGGATCGCCTGCGAAAGAAGCCCAATCAGTCCGCTCGAAGAATTGCCAAACATATGGGTGTATCCGATCGATCAATCCGTCGAATTATCAAGGACAAGCTCAAGTTCAAGCCCTACAAGAAGAACAAATCCGCTCTGCTTTCGGCAGACGCCAAATTGAAGAGAAAAGATCGATGTGAAAGCCTTCGTCTTCGTTTCAACGGAATCGACCACAGGAACATTTTGTTCACCGATGAGAAAATTTTTACGATTGAAGGAATTCTGAACAAGCAGAAAGATCGAGTTTGGTCGAAAACTCAACCAAATGTTACCGTCGGTCGCAGCGGCCACCCAGCTTCAGTCATGGTTTTTGGCGGTGTGACGGCTTCCGGCAAGACACCACTGATTTTTGTGCCACAAGGAGTCAAAGTTAATGCGAACACGTACTTGGATATGCTAAAGAAAGAACTTGTTCCCTGGGCTCAAAATCACTTCCAAAATCGCATCTGGACCTTCCAGCAAGATGGTGCTCCCGCTCACAAAGCCAAGATTGTTCAGGATTTCTGCAAAGCGACTTTTCCCGACTTCATTGCATTCAACGAGTGGCCCCCAAGCTCCCCAGACCTCAATCCATTGGATTTCTCGGTCTGGTCTGTTCTTGAAGCCGAGGCCTGTCAGAAGCCTCACAAAAACCTCGAAAGTTTGAAGAAATCTCTCTTGAAAGCCTGGGAGGGTCTGGACGCCGCCTACTTGGTCGCCACGGTCGACGCCTTTCCCAAGCGACTCAAGTCTTGCATCGACGCCAAAGGAGGAAGATTCGAATATGATCAATAAAAGTTGTTAATTTAAGTTCAATAAATATGTTAAAACTGTTTTTGTGGCAAATTTTTCGTTTTTTGGTCATATTCCAATGGAATTTCTCTGCACCTATAATTCTGCCGCACCCTGTATATTCATTTTAAAATCAATTTTTGGTAAAGGAACCCTGGATGGAAGTTGTTTGAATTGAACAAAAAGAGAAAGAAAAGCGGCCAAAATATTAGGTTTTTCGGATATAAACAAGCGTTGTTAAACTTATTGTTGTGTTGTTGTTGTTGAGAAGCTTTTAAAACATGTCTTTCTGTATTTAAAGGGCGTCATCTTGTGCATATTCGGAATCTTTTTAAAGCATTTGGGAATAATGTATTATCCGAAAGCCGATGCCGAGCCTGGTTCCAACGCTTTCGGAATGGTGATGAAAGTCTCGAAGATGGTGAACACTCTCGTCGATCTCAAGACCTCAAGACCTCAAGCGGTAGACAACGATATTTTGAGGGCTGCAATCAAATCGGATCAATGTCAAACGACGCGTGAACTTGCTCAACAGTTTCTATGTTCAAATTCTACTATTCATTAGCATCTCCATGCCATTGAAAAGGCGATTAGATACGGGGAAATAGCTTCCTCACGAGTTAAGCAGTGCAAACAAGGCTTCACGGGTCGCTATTACCGGAATCCTCAGCCGCCACGCTAAATATCATGGCTTTTTTGGTTCTCTCGTTACTGGAGATGAGAAGTGGATTCATTTCGATAATACTATTCGAAAACGGAAATGACTAGGACCAGGAGAACGGCCAAATCCGATCGTGAAACTGGACATTCATGGGGAAATGGCTTCCTCACGAGTTAAGCAGTGCAAACGCTCGTTTATATCCGAACAACCTAATAACTATTTCTATCATTAGTGCTAGTTTTTAAGAAATCATAGTCTGAAAAGCTAAAAAAGCTAAAAAAGCTAAAAAAGCTAAAAAAGCTAAAAAAGCTAAAAGAAAAGCGGTCAAACTAACTTTCAAATACGAATTACTTTTTCCTATAGTGAATAAAAAGCATTCAAATGTTAGATTTTAAAGTTTATATTTAAAATTTTCATCTCTTATTTCAGATCTCGTTCGCTGGTTTGTCTATATTCTTTCGAGAACGTCGACGGTTGGGTGTGAAGTGGAAGCGTGGTACATGTGGGAGCTTCTACCGCAACAAATGATCACACAGGGTTCGTTTTTTACCTTTAAAAGGCATCATTTCTCAAATTTCATCTGAAAAATAAGTTTTAAATTTGTTAGCTTTAAGGGAAATGCTCTTTGTCTAATCATCAAAAAAAAAAAACGATTTTTCCTTTATCAAAAAAAGTTTGTTGAACTTGTTGAAGTGAATTTGAGTGAGTGTGTTTTCTAATTCAGCGATTTGTTGAAATCATTTGAATGATTAGTTGGATTTTCGTTGAAAATTAGTGATTTTAGTTGAAAATGAGTGAATTTCGTTGAAAATTAGTGATTTCCTAGTCCAAACAAGTTACTGATTGACTCTTTTCGACAAAAATTCTTCTACCGACTAATCGATGACTAATGAATCGACTCGAAAGAGTTTTGAGAGAGTCCAATAGTCTTAAAGCCTTTAAATCTGTAGATGAGCTTGATGTTGAAGCTCTAGTGGACTCTTGACGCTATCTATATGCTACCCATTACATACATTATAACGTGTTGCTTTTCATCGGCCCTTTTCGTGTTTATGTGTATTAAATCTTAAATCTAGCGCACTTTATCTCAGGTCATGAATCAAGTACCTACACTACTGGACAATGAAATATCATATTTGAAAAACGATCGTCACTTTCGCGCGTCTGTAACTTCCTTGTCTTTACCGTATTTCTAAATATTAATATTACCATTGTGTAGCCCTTGAAAAGAGCTTTCAGAAAATGTATAACACTAATAGTTTAAATTCAAAGACAATAGAGTTACAGACGCGCGAAAGTGACGATCTTTTTTCAAATATGATATTTCATTGTCCAGTACTGTACGTCCGAATCTGAGGAGACGTCCATCTCCGATCCGGACGTCCGAATCTGAGGAGATTCATTCTCCTCTGAAACGGACGTCCGGATCGGAGATGGACGTCCGGATCGGAGATGGACGTCCGTTTCAGACGTCTCCTCAGATTCGGACGTAACATATATACAATTCCTCAATTCCAGGCGACGCCTCATTCTATTTGGGCGCTCTCTTCTCCGCAGTTCACATTCTCAAAAATGCGGACGCGATTCGGCGAATGTCCGACGATGCGAGCGTCAGAAGCACTTTGGTAAGCCGATTTTGAATTTCTGAACAAACGAAGTGATAAACTGGCCGGCGGGATTGAACCCTTGACCTTTTGACTAGCAAGGGAATGAGCCAAGCAAACACCAGTTGAATATAAGCATTTCAAATATCTATTCAGTTTTTGCTCAAATTGAAATCCTGATGAGAAAAATGCATTTAAAGTTTTGACGATTTTCGAATCGTCAAATCGTCTTCTAGTCAATAAGAGCGCGTTACACTCGAGCCAAAATAGAGCAGCGGTGGCCTAGAGGCTAGTGTGTCGGGTTATAAAACGCACGCCCTGTTTTGCGGTGGGTTCGAGTCCCGTCACCGACAGGCTTTCTTGCTTTTTTGGAAAAAAAGACGAATACCATTTTGTAAGGGATAGGGCTTATCGACATTAGCAGAAATTATGGAAAACTAGGAAATTTGATCGAAATCTACCAATTTTTTTTTCAACTTTGAAACTACTTTGAAGCACACAATTCCCACTTTAAAAACCGATCTTTTGTCTGTTTCATTTTGAAAGTCCAAGACTTTACACTAGCTAAAACCTAAGACTGTAATTTTACAAAGAGCTTAAAGCTATTAAGTAGCTACGTCGGAGTAGCTGATCTATTGATCTATTGATCTTGAAGATCTATTGATCTTGAAAATCTATTAATCTTGAAGATCTATTGATCTTAAAAATCTATTGATCTTGAAAGTCTATTGATCTTGAAGATCTATTGATCTATTGATCTATTGATCTTGAAGATCTATTGATCTATTGATCTATTGATCTTGAAGATCTATTGATCTATTGATCTATTGATCTTGAAGATCTATTGATCTTGAAGATTTATTGATCTATTGATCTATTGATCTTGAAGATCTATTGATCTATTGATCTATTGATCTTGAAGATCTATTGATCTATTGATCTATTGATCTTGAAGATCTATTGATCTTGAAGATTTATTGATCTATTGATCTATTGATCTTGAAGATCTATTGATCTATTGATCTATTGATCTTGAAGATCTATTGATCTATTGATCTATTGATCTTGAAGATCTATTGATCTTGAAAATCTATTGATCTTAAAAATCTATTAATGCTGAAGATCTATTGATCTTAAAAATCTATTGATCTTAAAGATCTATTGATCTATTGATCTATTAATCTTGAAAATCTATTGATCTTGAAAGTCTATTGATCTTGAAGATCTATTGATCTATTGATCTATTAATCTTGAAGATCTATTGATCTTGAAGATCTATTAATCTATTAATCTTGAAAGTCTATTAATCTTGAAAATCTATTAAAATCATTTTCCAGGACCTCTCTCGAGCGTGCACGTCAAACTCGTCTCTTTCAAGTGATGCCTTTTTGAGGGTGGCCGTGCCCGATGAAGTGAATGGATGCATTCGGTGAGTAAAAGATACTCAATCTTTTTAGAAAAATGATATCAACAAAAATTGTGGGACATTTGATGCCCCTTTTGCCCCGCCCATTTTACCATTAGCAATCTAACTTTGAGCTCATCCGCAGCCTTAGAAATCCAGACAAATGGATACTTAAAAAGTTCGTGTTTCAATGTGGTTACGGAAGATTTTAATAGCACTACGCTAATGATCACCATTTGGTACGACATTTGATATTGGAATTGCCATTGGCAATCTAACTTTGAGCTAAAATTTCTCGGCGTCGGGTTATTCAATTTAAATAGTTTTTGTACCAATCGATAGAGAAAGACTTGGCGCATCCAATGATAGCAAAAATGTATAAATTGAACCACCCAACACCAAGATATTTGAGCTCAAAGTTAGATTGCCAATGGCAAAGGGGGTGTGGCGTCTGATGCCTATTAACAAACGAGTTTCCAGCTACTGTACACTGCCCGGTGTTCCGCAAATGACAGTAAGCAAAATTTGCAAAGTGGTCGCTCATCAACAAGGGATCACGAACCCGGAGGACTATGGATTGTAAGTTTTATTTGTAAATCTTATTCCTGTGTTTTCGGAAAGACTTCTATTTTATTCAACTATTCAATAGAAAGACTAAAATGTGTTCCTCTTGATTACTGCACGTTCAAAAAGACACCGATTTTATTCAACTACCGTAATCCACCCGCCGGTTTTCATTCGATCAGTCAATGACACAAAAATTGGGTTGATCGAATGTAAATTAGCGGTTGGATTACGGTAGTTGAATAAAATTGGTGTCTTTTTGAAGGTGCAGTAATCAAGAGGAACACATTTTAGTCTTTATGCTTAGATATTTCTTTGGGTTACTGTAGGTAGCTGTAGATTACTGTAGGTTGCTGTAGCTTACTGTAGGGCACTGTAGCTTACTGTAGGTTACTCTAGGTTACTGTGGATTACTGTAGGTTGCTGTAGGTTACTCTAGGTTACTGTGGATTACTGTAGGTTGCTGTGGATTACTGTAGGTCACTGTAGCTTACTGTAGATTACTGTAGATTACTGTAGGTTACTGTAAGTCACTGTAGCTTACTGTAGGTTACTCTAGGTTACTGTGGATTACTGTAGGTTGCTGTAGGTTACTGTAGGTTGCTGTAGGTTACTGTAGGTTGCTGTAGGTTACTGTAGGTCACTGTAGCTTACTGTAGGTTGCTGTAGCTTACTGTAGGAATGTACAGTCTCTATGGCCATTCCTATTGAAATAGATTTGAAATTAGGTTTTTGAGCTTGTTTCAAAAGTATCCAGCATCTAAGGCATCTAAAGCATCTAAAGCATCATCTAAAGCAAAAGAGCAAAAGTATCCATCATCTAAAGACATTTCTGAACGACAATCTCCCAACCTTAAGCAGAAAATACGCAAAGAAAATCCAAATAAAGAACAAAGTGAATCCATTCACAAGGAAATCTTCTCAGATACATTCTCCGCTCGGGTTTCGAGGACTGTCTTCATCCCACCGATTCCCCATTCTTGGTTCGAGAAGTGGCGAGAAGCCATCAAACACCGCATCTCTTTGTCTACAAAAGACATGACGCGAAAATCGCCTGGCCTCAGCAATTGCCCGTGGCGAGGAGTCCCGCCATTGGTGGGCACACTTTGCCACAATTATCCATCTAACTGATTAAATTAAGAATTTCTTCCACTCAAATAAAGCATTTTTTAAAAATATATCTTTCTCTTTCTTGTCTCTTTCTGGAGAAACGCTAGAGCTTCGTCCAGAAGCGCTAGAGCTTCGTCCAGAAGCGCCAAATCAATTTACATCCATCGATGAAAATTTAGCAAAATCTTCAGGCTATATCATGGCTACAATAAATTGAAGATTTGAAGCTTGTAGAGCGAGCTAAAGGGGCTTAAAGGAGTTGCGCCTTGCGTTTTTGCGTCTCTACCCAAGTTTGAGCCTTTCTAGCTCGCTCCAAAAGCTTTAAATCAAATTTTTAGCTGATTTTTCCAATGTAGATTGATACGGTGAATCGATTGGCAACAGTTAGAAGTTTATTGGATAACGGGCAAAGGTTTAAAACCTCTGCTCTCTTAAATTTTCTTCTTTGGGTTGAAATCGATTTGGTGATCAGCTGCTCTCAATGATCAGCAGCTCTCAATGATCAGCTGCTCTCAATGATCAGCTGCTCTCAATGATCAGCAGCTCTCAATGATCAGCAGCTCTCAATGATCAGCAGCTCTCAATGATCAGCTGCTCTCAATGATCAGCTGCTCTCAATGATCAGCTGCTCTCAATGATCAGCTGCTCTCAATGATCAGCTGCTCTCAATGCTGCTGCTGCTGCTCTGCTGCAGCTGCTCTCATTGAAGTTAACAATTTTGAAAGCCTCTCAATCAATCATCAATAATCCAATCGCTTTCGTTAATTGATTGCCTTTAATACCAATTTTGGAATACACAAATTTCTAAAGAAACATTTGAAATTTTACGTATTCCAAGCAATGTCTCATTATTCTCCGATCACTATTCGTCTAGTACATTATTTTGAAACACTCATTTTGTTATTTGAAAACACTCACTCCCACACTGTGATACACGCCTAATTTTCTTTCTAATTCTTTCTAATTCTTTCTAATTCATTTTTTTGCAAATTTTTTAAAGAAAACTCGATTTCCCCTTACTCAACTCATTCAGTTATTGCTTGAAACATGGTTTCTGATGAATTTTTCCATTAAAAATCCTTTCTCGGTGCTTTTTCGACTTGATGAACAGGCTTTTTGTTAGTTTAGGCTATGAAAACATTGAAAACCAAATATTTTTATCCTTTTTATCGTTGCGTGTTGTTATTTTTACAAATGCATTTTGTAAATAAGCAAATAAACGTTTTTTTGGCTTATGAAATATAGAAAACGCAGAAATAGTGGTAAAAAATGTGGTAAAAAATGTTAAGTTTCAAATTTATTCAATTGTTTGAACGTTAATGGGCTTTAGTCGGATAAGTTTTTGCTGTAAATTTTCTAATCTTTTTTTCTCGGCTTCATTGATTACAAGATTAATATCAACTACAAGATAGAATCACAGCTAGAATCATAGCTACAATCAGAGCTAGAATCATAGCTAGAATCACAACTAGAATCACAGCTAGAATCACAGCTAGAATCACAGCTAGAATCACAGCTAGAATCATAGCTACAATCACAGCTAGAATCACAGCTAGAATCATATTGCCATATTTTGAGTCTAATCTGATCTAAATGACGCTAGTAATATGTTTTGGAATTGTAATATCTTTTGAAATCAAATGCTAGAGAAAATTGAGCTCTTAATCTACGTAACGTAACGTAAAATCAACGTAAATATAATCCGATTCAGTCCTTTTGTCGATAGGTGTAGAACGGAAAAGAATTGGCGACCAGAGGAGACGAAGTTTACTTGAGATTCGGCTCTTTCGTTCATTTGAAAGATGTGCGCGTTAACCCCTCGACCATGTCCTTTTGTTGATGGCGCAGTGCGAGTGCACTTGTCTCTAGCCCCACACGACCCGGGTTCGACTCCAGCTCACGTCGGCACTTTTGGTTTTTGAAAAATTTAAAAACATGTTGCACAACTAGATGAAATTCTAAGCCAAACTAAATATAAAGTATTTGAAATGACCCACTGGGCGCGGAGAAGTACAGACAGACGCACAGACAAACAGACAGACAGGCAGACAGACAGACAGACAGACCGACGGATAGACACATGGATAGACAGACGGATAGACAGACAAACAGACAGATAGACAGACAGATAGACAGACAGATAGACAGACAGATAGACAGACAGACAGACAGACAGATAGACAGACAGACAGAGAGACAGACAGACAAACAGACAGGCATACAGACAGACAAACAGACAGACAAACAGACAAACAGACAGACAAACAAACAAACAGACAGACAAGCAGACAGACAGACAGATAAACAGACAGACGTCTTTGTCTTTATATAATAGATACATAGTACAAAACCACCAAAGTCTATAAAATATCTAAAATCTATAACTATAAAGCATTTGAAATTGCCCACTAGTCGCGGAGAAGTACAGAGAGACAGACAAACGTCTTTATCCCTTTATATACAGTCGAAATTCGATATAACAAACCCAAAAGGTGCTTCAAATTTTCTGCGTAGCGGGACAGCCACGGCTGGACGGCTGGGACAGCAGATTTTGGAAAAAGAAAAAGAATTTCAAATTCGTTGTTTCGCAGTTCGACTGTAGTATTTACATAGTATAAAATCACTAAAATCGATTGGGCTTTTCAAGTTTGATCAAAAATTTAGTTTTATTGGAGTTTTTAGTGGTCAAATCTCTTGTTTATAAACACGATTTTCAAAATCCAATCTCTTTTCAACATTCTATAAACTTTGTTTTATTTTTTTAACCAAAGTACTTCTATTAAAGAGCTTCTTTACACAGTTTTTGAGCCTTTTCAATTTGGTTTATTCAATTTGGTTTATTCAATTTGGTTTATTCAACTACAATTAACGAGCTTCTTTACACACTTTTTTTTCAAACAACTTAATAGCCGTCGTAGGGAATCGGATAGGAGTCTTGTCTCCTAGTCGGGGGGGTTAAGGGTTCGATCCCTAGAAAGATTGGTTCTTTCGATCCAGGCGGCTAGAAAGATTGGTTCCTTTTCCCATTAGTATGGGTTTTAGTAGACTTCGGAAAACAAAACTTAACCAAAACCAAAACCACCAAAACCAAAACCAAAACAGACCAAAACCAAAACCAAAACAAACCAAAACTCGCCAATATCTCGCGACTGGGAGGAGCTAGCGAAAAACTGTTTGCAGATTTGAAATCAGCATCCAAAAATCTATCCCATAGGCTATTTTTTGTTTCGAAATTTCGAGGTCGTGTTTTGGTCCTTTTTCGGCCGCGAGATTTTGTGGAGTGAGAAAAAGTGAAAGGCTAATTTGCATTTTACATTAAAATTTGCATTTTACAATTTTAAATTTACATGTTAATTTATATGCAAATTGAGTTTTGGTTGGTTTTGGTTTTTGTTTTGTTTGCCGAACTCTAGGTTTTAGTATGGGTTTTATTAGGGGCTTTCTTCTTAACAACATTTAGACAATAGGGGTAATTAGGGGTAAAAATCTCCTCCGTTGTGTTGTAATTCATTATTCGTGTCGAATAAATATATGTCGTAGCCGATTATGAATGAAATTTTTTGGCAAATCTTTCTAGTAGAGCAACCCTTTAATGTATGAGGACAATATTATATAATCTTGTAGCGAATTCAATTCTGCGTCGATTGGTACCAAATTTGTGAGTTTAGGTTAGAAATTCCCGGTGCTACAACGTTTCATTCAAAATAGCCCCCATAGCCGATGATGAATTTCAGCCGATTATGAATGAGTGGGTCTAGGAGCGAATGAGTGGGTCTAGGAGCGTCCAACCATCAAGTATTTAGTATCATTCAATGCAGAATCATTCATAATTATATTAAATTTTTAAAATTAGAAAGGGTTGATAAAAAGAAAAAAAATTAGAGCAAAAAAACTGTTTGTTCAAGAGAAAACTTTGAAGCCTCATAATTTTTTTTCTTTTTATCCAATCTTTCTAATTTAAAAAATTTAACATAATTATCAATGATTCTGCGTTGAATGAGACCAAATACTTGATGCTTGGACGCGTCCGGACCCACTCATTCATAATCGGCTACGACATATACATTTTTTTTTCAAACAAGTAAAATAAAACTTTCTAGAATACCGTAAACAAAGTTCACTTTCAAAGAACGGCTCTTGAAACCTTTCAAAGAACTTCATATTTGTTTTTTTTTAATTACGTAGAAGATTTTCTTTTCAAACGTCAATTTTATTTTATTAAGATCAATTGGTGACCAAAATTCTCAAACAAAAAAAGAGAAATGAATCAGAGCCAAAAAATAAAACAAACTTTTATTCTTTTTGGAACTTTGTTTTTGGAAATTCACAGTTTCAAAAGCAATCATTTACACAAAATGTGGGCTATTCGATTTTCACATTAGAAAAAAGACTATTTTCATATTTTCAAACGTCAATCTATTCTTTTCGTTTGTAAATATGTGGCAGGAATGTTTGAAAACGATTTTTGAAAGCTTTTCAACTTTTTCCGTAGATTAGAAATGATTTTTTTTTAAAAATTGATTGTCATATTTTTACCTGGGTCATATCCATGAGTTCCTGTACTAATTTCAGTACTAACTTCAGTACTAATTTCCTCATTCCCAGGACCTGGATCATATCCATGGCTCATGGGTATGACCGGCGATGGATATGACTTGGATCATGTACTGAACCCAAGAACTCCTGTACTAATTTCCTCATACTCATGACCTGGATCATATCCATGGCCCAGATCATACCCATGAGCTCCTGTACTAGTTTCAGTACTAACTTCAGTACTAATTTCCTCATACCCATGACCTGGATCATATCCATGGCTCATGGGTATGACCGGCCATGGATATGGCCTGGATTATGTACTGAACCCATGAGCTCCTGTACTAATTTCAGTACTAATTTCCTCATATCCATGACCTGGGTCATATCCATGGCCGGTCATACCCATGAGCTCCTGTACTAGTTTCAGTACTAACTTCAGTACTAATTTCCTCATACCCATGACCTGGATCATATC